GCAACAAAAAAATAGCCAGGTGTTGTGGTGGCTATTTTTTTTTTTTGTCCCAGCTACTCAGGAGGCTGAGGCAAGAGAATTGCCTAAGCACAAGAGCTGGAGGTAGCTGTGAGCTGTGTAATGCCACAGCACTCTACCGAGGGCGATAGAGTGAGACTCTGTCTCTACAAAAAAAAAAAAAAAAAATGCTACTTACTATTTACTATTTACTACTTACTCTTCTAAGTGGTATGTATGCATTGTACTTCTCATACATTTCCCACTCAACATTCAGGACCACTGTGAGGTAGATATTGTTCCTCCATTTTACAGCTGGTCAGTATTCCCAGTGTCACAAAATCACTACATCCCAGGATTAGGACCAGAACTGTGCTATCCTGGCCTAGCCTGCCTCTAGTTACCCCAACCCTGAGTGTCCAGGTCCTTGCTGTTCTTTATTAGAATTCTGACTTTGGGCTCAGTGCTTGTAGCTTAGTGGTTAGGGCACACGCCACATACTCAGAGCTGACGGGTTCGAATCCAGCCTGGGCCTGCCGAACAACAATGACGACTATAACCAAAAAATAGCCGGGCGTTGTGGCAGGTGCCCGAAGTCCCAGCTATTTAGGAGGCTGACGCAAGAGAATCGCTTAAGCCCAAGAGTTCGAGGTTGCTGTGAGTTGTGATGCCATGGCACTCTACCCAGGGTGACAGCTTGACACTCTGTCTCAAAACAAACAAACAAACAAACAAACAAACAACCCCAACAGAATTCTGACTTTGTACGTAGCTGAAAAACTTGACTGACTTCTGCTCTCTTACAAGTAGGGGTGGCCATGTGACTTAGTCCTGGCCATTGGGCTTGGAAGTGGAAATCTACCAGGTAGGACTGGTTGGGAAATCACTGTTCCCCTGATCCAAAGGACTAAAGGCAACTGACACGCTGTTTTTGCCATTTGCCAGTCCCCACGTTGCTGTCTAGAATGCAGCTGAGAAGTTGGGAGGAGGCATCATCTTATAACCCTGCCAACAAAAGCCACACCTAGCAGGGCAGGAAGACAGAAGGAGTCTGGGACACAGACTGCCCCCGCGTACCTCCAGATCTCTTGTGTGGAGAAGCCCCCTGTTCCTTCGGTTTCTGTTCCATGTGGTCAGAGGCAAGTGTCACTGAGCCACTGAGCCCAGCATCACAGCTGCCTGTCTACAGGCTCTGAATAGAGGGAATGATGGGCGGCGCCTGTGGCTCACTGGGCAGGGCGTGGGCCCCATATACTGAGGGTAGCGGGTTCGAACCCAGCCCCGGCCAAACTGCAACAAAAAATAGCGGGGCATTGTGGCGGGTGCCTGTAGTCCCAGCTACCCAGGGAGGCTGAGGCGAGAGAATTGCCTAAGCCCAAGAGCTGGAGGTTGCTGTGAGCTGTGACGCCATGGCACTCTACCGAGGGCAACAAAGTGAAACTCTGTCTCTAAAAAAAAAAAATTAAAATAATAATAAAAAAAGAAACGAGATTCCTGGTGGGGGGCGGATATGATAGCAGATGTTGGTGGAGAGAACAGATGTATAGAGCTGTCTGGACCCCTTTGTGTGGGGTGGCTGAGGAGTGCCTTACTGGGCTTCCCAGCATTGGCCAAGGGAGCCCTCTGTCCCCCACTGCTCCACTGTTGCCAGCACCTGACAGAGGTCAGCATTGTACTTGAGCGGGAGGCAGCCTCAGTCCTGTGTGTTCCATGGAAAAATAATCTGTGGTCCTGGTTGACCATTGAAGTGTCTGTAAATATTTGGTCAAGGTAGGAAGCTGGGAGACAAGGGGCAGATTCAGGGAGCCAAGTGAGCTGGGAAGGGTTTGGGCGTGGGAGTGGCCGAGGCTTCCTTAGAGGCGAGGAGAAACAAGCGGGCCTGTGCTGCTCTTGACTTGCGGCCAGGCCACCTGACTGCCCGGAGGCGATTTATGGGCCCACGGTCAGACCACCTGTTAGCGAGACCTCAGGGGAATGTGCTTATACTGCCCCACCACAGAATTCAGGCCTTTGCTTTTCTGGAGGCACCGCCTAGCTCATTTCTTTTAGGTGACGTGCTCCTCTGGGAGCTGTGAGAGTCGAGGTTTTCTTCAGCTCAAGAGAAGGTGGTTCCTTTGTCTCAGAGGAGCAGCAGGCCCTGACTGGACTTGGTATCCCAGCTACACCCCCACTGACAAGGAGAGCCCCTTGGGGTGCCCTCCCTGCACTGGGTATATCTGCTGACAGACCCCCAGGGAACTCTCTCCTGGCACTGCCCCTTCTAGAAGCCCATCCAAGTGGGAATAGCCTCTGGCCTTTGTTTTAAGTCTTCTCCTGTCCCTGTGCCATTCACCTCAAGGTAGCAGCCTTTGCTCCAAGCCCACTGGGAAACCCTGTAACCCCTCAGGCTCCCCCTGCCTCAGTTGTTAGCTTGTCTGGATAGTGGTTCTCAGCCTTGCACACTAACCCAGGGAACATGTAGAAATATTGATTCCTGGGTGCCTGGCAGATTCTGATTTAATTGCCCAGTATTTTGTAAGTGCTCCCTGGATGATTCTAATGTTTATGTGTTAAAGTGCAGATTCTGATGCAGCAATCCGTGTGGGGTCTGAGATTCTACATTTCTCTCCTTTTTTTTTTTTTAAGAGATGGGAGTCTTGCTCTGGGGGCTCAGGCTGGACTGAACTCTGGAGCTCCAGTGATCCTCTCATCTCTGCCTCCTGAGCAGCTGGGATTACAGGCACACACCATTGTGCCCAGCTAGTAGCTTCTGTGTTTCTAACCAGGTTCCAGGTGATGTGGACACTGCTGATCCAGGGAAAGATCAGGACCAGGGCTGGGGTTCTTGAAAGTCAGATGGGAAGAGTGATACATCGTGGCCCTAAGGCTTTCAGGCGTGGCCCAGCCTTCTTGAACTCCCCAGGCTAGGTGTTACCCTTATGGGAAAGACGCACAGGACTGTAGGTGTCTTCTGATGGGAGAAGGCTGGGGACTTGGCACCTCTGTCCTTCCTCAGGGACAAAAGGACAGCCATCTTCACTTAGTGGTCAGGATGAGAGGGTGACCCTTGCCACGTGCTCTTGGGGATCCTACAAAAACACAGGCATTGCTTTTCTTAGGCATTCCAAGTAGAACTGTGTGGATAGGCTGTGGGTTAAGATAAAGTCCATTCTAGGCTGGGCACAGTGACTCATGGCTGTAATCCCAGCCCTTTGGGAGGCTGAGGTGGGAGGATCATTTGATCCCAGGAGTTGGAGGGTACAGTGAGCTATGATGACACTACCACACTCCAGCCTGGGAAATAGAATGAGACCCTGGCTCTAAAAATAAAAATAAAAACAAAAACATGGGCTCAGCACCTGTAGCACAGTGGTCACAGCACCAGCCACATGCACCGAGGCTGGCAGGTTCGAGTCCAGCCTGGGCCAGCTAACCAACAATGACAACTGCAACAAAAATATAGCTGGGCATTGTGGTGGGCACCTGTAGTCCCAGCTACTTGAAGCCTGAGGCAACAGAATCCCTTAAGCCCAAGAGTTTGAGGTTGCTGTGAGCTGATATCACAGCACTCTACTGAGGGCGACATAGTGAGACCCTGTCTCAAAAAATAAATAAATAAAAAAAAAAGTATGTTTTAAACCTCCCTTTCCTCTTACTTCTTGGGAATCAGCTGACAGAGAAATCACCTGGTCCAAACCAACTGTTGTTTTCTTTGATTTAATTAAAAACTTAAAAAAAAAATCAAAAACCAAACCCTGTTTGTATCAGTTGTCTAGTACCTCTATGGCCTCACAGCAGTAGCAATAACTTACTCATGGTCAGGGTGAAAGGGAGATGCGGGGGCTGAGCACTGAACCCGAAGTGAGTCCGTGGGAAAGATCTGCACTATGGCTGGGCTGGGTTTGCTCTCCAGGCCAGCGAGAGTGCTAGGCCTCAGGGTAGGGAAACTCGCAGGTCTGGGAAAGCAGCAGGTGTGGCTGTATACATTGAGACCCCAGGTGCTTTTCTTGGGGGGCTATGGTGAAGATGCATAAAGGGGCAGTGGGAGAGGAGAATTGTCCCCCAAGCAGTTCAGCCTTTCCAAGATGGGCCCAATCACCAACAGAGGGCAGCTGATACCACCTCTACTCTAGAAACCACCTTCTAGAGCCCCCCTCCCACTCTGCCTACTTTCTGAGATCTTGGGCTTCCCCCCACCCCCCTAATGAGAAAGCCCTGTTGCTAAGAGAGGCCCAAGACCCCAGGGACCTCAGGATCCCTTGGTCAGGGAGGATAGCTCCAGGGTCTGTGCCCATCCCTTGGGGGCTGTGCCAGTAACAACTCTGTGAAACGAAACCACCCTCTGGCAGGGGCTGGGTCAGCCTGGCTATAGGAGTGAGGCCCGAGGGCAAGCATGGCTGGCTGGCTGGCTGGTGGGGAAGGCACTCTTCAGTGGGGCTCAGAGGCCCCATAGAAGAAGGGGTAGTAGAGGGAGCAGGGGTAGGAGAACATGAATTTGACTGCAAACTTCATCTCCTTATTCTTCTTGTCCCAACGGTAGACAGCCGTGAGCAGCAGCTGTCCGTCCACCTTGCGACCCATGACCAGGAAGCTGCCGGCCAGGCTGTCCAGCTGTGGGCAGGGGCAGCCTGCGCTGTTCTTCATGTGGAGCACCAGCCTCTTGGTGTCCTTGCGCTTCAGGGGGCCTGGCTTGAGCAGCTTCTTCTTTTTCTGGGCTCCAATCAGCTTGCGGTCCCCATTCTCTATCTTGATCTCCTTGATGCGCATTTTGACCACTGTGGGAAGGAGGCACAGAGGGGCAGCTTGAGAGTGGTCAGGACTGGGTAGGATGCTGATGGCCCTGGATTCCACTGGTGTGCTCTGGACCTTTAGGCTCAAGAAGCTTGATGCTGGGGTGGGGGTGGTGGAGCTTATACATGCACCTTTTAATATTTATGAAGCACCTATCATGTACTGGACTTCCACAGATATTATCATATTTCATCCTCAGGGTACAGGAGGGAGGACATGAGCCGCAGAGAACTTGTGACTTGCCCTAATTGAGAGCCTGGATTGAGCCAAGGTCTGGCTGACTCCAGAGCCCAGACCTTTCCACAACACCTAGTGCAGGGTGGAGAGCTCCTGAGGGGGAGTGGGCAGGAGCAGCTCGCAACAATCTTCTTGTGGAGCATAAGCTTCTTGGTGTCCTTGTGCTTCAGGGGGCCTGGCTTGAAGCTGTGTCCCCAGGGAGGGGTGGGGCTGACCACTTGGAGGGGTCCTTGTGGTGGAGGGAGGCTGGACTTCCTGATCTCCTGTTACCAGTGGGATTTCTGTGTGTGTATCATGTGGAATGTACATGGAGTGTGTATGTGAGTGGGGTTGGAGCAGTCACGGGCTGGCAAATGTTTAACAGCTGCCTCTGAGAATGGGGGATGTGGGATGAATCCTCCACGTGGCCCTGGGCATGGGAAGAGACAGAGATCAGCTCTTGCTGGTGTGAACGCCCCACTGTATGGTGATTTGCATGTGTACTCATGGTGGGTTTCTGTGTCTGACAATGTGTCTGTGGCATGTGTAGGAATGTGAGTGTGGGGAGTGGCCTGGGAGGTATGTGACAGCAGGGTCCATGGCCGGGGAATCATGGTCCGGGTCACTCAGCAGTGGCTGCAGAGAGCCTAATACACTTGGGCATAAGGGGTGGAGAGTTGGAGGTAGGGAGCCCCTTGGGCTAGTGTCTCCCTTTTCAGGCCGCTGGGCCTCCATCTCTGCAGCTGCCAGGGAGAAGCCAGAGAACTTTGCCTACTCCTGGAAGGAAGTTATCAGAACATCCCCTTCTTTCTCTTTTTGTCCCCCGCCCCTTTTTCTGTCTCTGATACACACACATTCCCAAGCAACAGCAATATTCTCTTTCCAAACAGGTTACCAACATGAAAGACCTCTCTGAAGGAAGGACTACATTATTATTTGTTCTTTCTGTTTTATAGACCGGGGAGACTAAGACACAAAATGGAACTGATTTGGCAAAGGTCACAGGCTGGACTGTGTGGTCCATGAATGGGCCAGGTCCTGACTGGACTTGGCTGGGTTGTCCCAGCAATAGGGAGGCTCTGGGGTGAAGCTGTGGGGATAGGTGACCACAGGTCTCTGAGCAGAGGTGCCTAGGGACAAGGGGCTCCAATTCCATCCTGGAGTCCATCTCCTATCCTCACTTCAGTTCCCTCCATCTTTGAACTGAGCCTGCATCTCCCAGAGAGACAGTCCAGCCACAGAGGCCCCCTAGTACCAAGACAAGCCCTGGTGGGTGGTTTCTGAGCCCATAAGCCATGGCATTAAAGGGCTTCTGACACTCTTGAGATGATGTGACAAAGAGGTGCATCTTTCATGGGAGACAATGGTATATAGTTACCATCAGATTCTAGAAAGGGGTCCATGAGGCAGAAGCTGTTGGGATTCACATGCTGGATGTGGGCACATATGGTCATGTGTGTGTCAAGGAAGAGGGGCTCAGGGTGGCACTGGGGAGTGGTTGTGTGGGCCCCACACTCACCAAAGTCGCTGGAGCACATCTGCTCCATGAGGCCGTCAGCACTGTGCTCCATCTCACACTGGGCGCAGATCTTGGTCACTAAGAGAGAAGGCAGGCTCTCATAGGTTTCATGAACCTGGGATGGCTTCCTATTTTATGTATGGGGAAACTGAGGCTCGGAGAAGTTAAGCAACTTGCTTAAAGGCTTCTCTTTTTTTTTTTTTTTTTTTGAGACAGAGCCTCAAGCTGTCCCCCTGGGCAGAGTGCCGTGGCATTACAGCTCACAGCAACCTCCAACTCCTGGGCTCAAGCGAGTCTCCTGCCTCCGCCTCCCAAGTAGCTGGGACCACAGGCGCCCGCCACAACGCCCGGCTATTTTTTGGTTGCAGCCGTCATTGTTGTTTGGCGGGTCCGGGCTGGGGATTTGAACCCGCCACCTTAGGTGTACGTGGCTGGCGCCTTAGCCGGTTGAGCTATAGGCGCCGAGCCCTTAAAGGCTTCTCTTATAGAGCAGAGCCTGACTAATCTGCTCTTTGTTTTCTTTCTTTCTTTTTTTTTGAGACAGTCTCAGTATGTTACCCTTGGTAGAGTGCTATGGTGTCATAGCTCACAGCAACTTCAAACTCTTGGGCTTAAGTGATTCTCTTGCCTCAGCCTCCCAAGTAGCTGCAACTACAGCTGCCTGCCACAATGCCTGGCTATTTTTTTGTTGCATTGTTGGTTAGCAGGCCCAGGCTGGGTCCCAACCTGTCTGCCTCAGTGTATGTGGCTGGTGCCCTAACCACTGAGCTACTGGTGCAGAGCCTAATCTGCTCTTTCTTCTGCACCGAACCTTACCCAAAAGACTCCCATCAGGGGCACTGAGGAAGAGGGTGGAGAAGTTAGGGTTCCAGGTCTAGAAAATGGGGGGAGACCACAGCCCAAGAGCACTTTAGCCTCCAGTTCTTTTCTACATCTCTTCTCTCAACCCTCCTCCCTTCCCAGGGTCCCACCAAGGGGTAGAGGTGATGCTTGTCTAGGTGCCCTGGGGACAAGGTGAAAGGCATTGTTTAGTGACACCCCCACCCCCACCCCCAGCATTCTTGGGTTGAGGGGAAAGATAAGGGATTTGTGTAGACGCCTCAAGTAGGGAGCAGTATTAGACGAACCCCAGGGATAGATAATTCAGCTGCTAGGATAGGAGGGCGTTGTGAGGGTTCGGGGTGGAGGGTGTTTAGGAGAGGAGAACCATTGGGGAATGCCTAGAGGCACAGCTCTGGCAGTCCGTCCGTCGGGTGGAAGGAGAGAAGGCTGTGGGAGACGATTTCTGGCGCACAACAGTCCTCGCAGACCAGGTGTGTGTGTGTGCGTGTGTGTGTGTAGAGGGGTGGCACCTCTCGGGGGCTTGCGGAGCTGTGCTAAGGGGTTGGGGGAGCAGCATCCGTCTGGGACCCGGCTCAAGAGGACCCAGGACAGTCGGAGAGCACGGGAACGGCGGTGGCTGCGCTACCTGGAGGCGCGGTGGCGGGCAGGTGCCCGAACTGCACAGCGATGCAGAGGTCGTTGTCCAGGGGGAACTTGTGGCAGTGCAGCATCTCGGGCCAGGGGAAGCCGTAGGCCTCCATGAGCGGTGCGCAGCCGGCGCGCACCGCCTCACACAGCGAGCGGCAAGGGTAGATGGGCCGGTCGAGGCACACGGGCGCGAACAGCGAGCAGAGGAAGACCTGCGTGTCTGAGTGGCAGCGCTTGGCCAGCAGCGGCAGCCAGCTGCTCGCCTGCTGCTTCACCTCGGCCAGGCTCTCGTGCTCCAGCAGGTTGGGCAACCGCATGCGCTTGTAGCCCACCGTGTGGCAGAGCGGCAGGTCAGCGGGGATGTCGAGGCATTGCGGCGGCTTGGAGTAGGAGCGGCCGTGCAGCGGCTCAGCCTGCCAGCCGTAGTAGTCGTACTCCTGGCCACGCGCTGGCGCCCCGTGCAGCGCCCCTAGCAGCAGCGCCAGCGCGGCCGCCCGCGCGGCCCCCGCCACAGCCCGCATGGCCGCCCCGTCCACCGGCGTGCGCCGCGCAGGCACCCGACGCTTCCCCGCAGAGGTGGTCCAAGTGTATGGCAGCCGCGTCGCGGGCGCGGGGAATGATCCTGGCGCCTCCCACCTTGGGGCTCCAGCCCCAGCCTCTCCGCGCGCCCCAGCCAATCTGTAGCCGCCCGGCCCCCAAGGCGGGGAGGCAGGGTGGAGCCCCCGAGCCCCTCCCGCTGGCTCCCCGTGCAGCGCGCCTAGCGCGGGCCTGTGCGTCCATCTCTGCTCTCTTGGCTGCCCCTCCACAACCCTGACCTCGTCTTGCGCTTCTCCCGCGGCGCCCTCGCCCTCGCCTCCCTTGGCATTTTCCTCGCCCCTCGCCTTCTCCATCCTTGCTACTTATCGCTCTCCGCCACGGCCTCTCCTGTTCCTTTTCTGACGCACTTCACTTGCTTATCTATACGCCGGGACATTTCTCCCTCCGTCCTGTTTTCTCTTCCTGACACCTCGGTTTCTTTTCTCCCTGGCAGGAGGCTCCTGGCTGCCCAACCCTCCTGGACCTCCTGGTCCTCTGGCCAGTTCTCACACTTCAGTCCTGAGGTGTTTACGAGCTTGGTGCCAGGCACCGTGCTGGCTGTTGCGGAGTCAAAGATGAGTATGAATGGGAACCCAGCTTCAGCAACGGCACGGTCTAGTGGGGGCAAAGGTAATCATAGCTTTTATTTAGTGAGCTCTTACTAAGTGCCAGAGATGGGAAGGCACACTACAACCGTATCAACCACTGTTTCTAGTGCTAGCTAATACTCAGTGGAGGCTAACAGTGGGGGCCAACTCTGTTCCAAGCACCCCATATACCTTACCTCATTTAACTCCACAGTAATGCTGTAAGGTGGGGAGGTATTATCTCCACTTTACAGCTAAAGATACTGAGGCAAAGAGAAGTTAAGTAAGGCTTATAGCCAGGATTTGAGCCTGAAATTCAGAGTGAGATTCCAGAAACAACCAGGGGATTTGAATTCAGAGTCTGTAGGCCCAATGGCTCTGGAGGGTGGGCTCAGAGAGGTGGAGAAACAAGTTCTTGGTCACCGAGCTCATATGTGAAGGAATCAGGATTTGAATCCAGGTGTTGGACTCCAAAGGCCAGAGCTTCCTACTGAAGGATGATTTCGACCCAGACTAGGAAATGGTGTGGGAGAAGAAGGAATCAACAGTGTCTCTAAGGAGGGCATTCAGGGCAGCATCAGAGTAGAGGTGACTTTTGGGAACCCCACGCTTGGCGTCTTTCTCTCCTGTTTAGGCCCCACCTTTTCTGGGAAAGGAACTTGGGCAAGAGGCTTGGTAGGGCAGCGGGGATGCGGGCTTCTTCTTGAGAGCCTAGCCTGAGACCTGACCTGCCAGCCTCTGGTGGCAGGGTACCCTGGGGAGGTATCTCAGAGGAGGGCTGGGAGCTGGGAGGCAGGGGGGCTGGGGCATTTCTCCCCTATATCTAACTTTATCTAGCACCCCTTTCCCTTTATCTAACACCCCCCAATATTTCCAGGGCTCCTGTCTCCCTTAGATCTGTCCCTGCAGTGGTAGTGGAGTGGGGCAAGGCACCACTCATTCAGTGAACATGCATGGAGCTTCTACTGTGTGCAAGGCGCAGTGTAGATGGGGACACAAATGTGCAGAAGAGCTGCTCTGCGTCATCTGGTCTAGTTGTGAGGAAAAGGTATAAGGCAGGCAGAGGAGGCAGAAGATTCAGCAGACAGAGCCCCAGGGGTGGAGCACGACATGTCTGATGACCAGGATGACCTAGTTGGGTCTGGGTAGATCAAGCTGAGGCCTTCTCTTCCCCTGTTCCCTCTCCTAACCCCTGGCCAGGAGAGGTTCTGCTGATGACCGCTCAGAAAGTGAAGGATTGGCCTCTGTGGGCCAGGCAGCATAGTGCAGGAATGGTGCAAGAGTCTGGACTCTGCAGATAGGTTCAAATCCTGGCCGCTTACTGGCTGTGTGACCTTGGACAAGTACTTAACCATTTTGACCTTTGATTTCCACCTTTGTAAAAATACAACTTCCTCAGCAGTTATTGTGAGAGACAAACAGGAATAGGATGAATGGAAAGAGAGCCCCCAATACAGTGCCAGCATGTAACGAGCACCTGGGAATGTTAGATCCCCAAGGGATGTGTGACTTTGGGATAAAAATGTGTGTTCTGCAAACCCCCTGGGATACCTTGTCCCTGGCTCTGGTTTGGGTTCTGATTAGCAGTTCTGTTCCCTGTACTCTGACTTTTCCCACCCTCCATGGGCTTGGCAGGCTTCTGCCTCCCAGGGGAGGTGTGGCTGTGGGTCCTGGCAGGGGTGTTGGAGTCCCCCAGGTGGTTGTGCAAGGTGCTGGCTCCTTGGGCAGCTGGTCTGCTGTGCTGTTCTTGGCATTACAGTGCCTGGCCTGGACAGAGCAGTGCTTTGTTCCTGCTGCTGGTTATGTAAGAACTGCACGTGGCCAGGGAGCCCAATGAGTCCATACCTTACAGCTCTGGGGGATCGAAGGGGCAGTGGGACCAGGCTGTAAGCCCCCCAGAAGTCTTTACCTGGCAACTGCCTTAGGGACTCTCAAGGCTCCCTGACACCAGCCAGCATGGTGAGAGAGGAGGGAAACTCTACACAGAAGCAAGCCCAGATGAGGGTTGTGCCTTGGGGCAGTCACCAGTGGAGCTCTCTTGCTCTCTCTCCCTGGCCAGTTACCCTGGGTCTGTGGCCTGAGCAGAAGGCTGTGGCTCTGATGTCATACCCCTTCCTCAGGAGGCTGAACCAGGGCCTTGGCAGCCAGTGGAACACCTGGCATGCTGGGCATCTGTTCATTTTGGAGCATCTATAGTCTATCTAGACCTTTCCTCTAGCTGATGGAGGAAAATTATTCAAAAGAATGTGTATTCATGGTTTGTTATATATGAATACTTCTTAGATCAAACTTGCTAGTTATGTTATCAAACTCTACATTTTTCTTGTTTATTTCAGTGGTTCTGAGCATGTGATTAGGGTTCCCCAGGGAGTGTCCAAGAACTTTTTGGTGGTATATGAAATCAAAATTACACACAATGCAAATGGCCATTCAAAGTATAAGATGGGCCAGCACAGTGGCTCAGGCCTGTAATCCTAGCACTTTGAGAGGCTCAGGCAAGTAGATTGCCTGAACTCAGGAGTTCGAGACCAGTCCAAGCAAGAGAGAGACCCCATCTCTATTAAAAATAGAAGAACTAGCCAGGTGTTGTGGTAGGCACCTATAGTCCCAACTAGTTGGGAGGCTGAGCCAAGAGGCTGGCTTGAACCCAGGAGTTTGAGATTACTGTGAGCCATGATGCCACAGCACTCTACCCAGGGCAACAGAGTGAGACTCTGTCACAAAATAAATAAAATAAAGTACAAGTAGAGCAGTGTATTTTAAGGTAATAGAGAAGTTTATTGATAAGGTTTAAGATTCTATATTGCAATGAACATTTGAGAAACTATACGTCAATTTTTGGAGTAATATCAAAGAAGAATATCTGCAATTAACTGAGAAGGCTATTAAAATGCTCCTCCCTTTTCTAACTACATTTCTGTGTGCGGCCAAATTTTCTTTATATACTTCAACCAAAACAACATATGGCCACAGATTGAATGCAGAAGCAGCTATGAGAATCCAGCTGTCTTCCATTAAGCCAGAGATTAAAGAGATCTGTAAAGTAGTAAAACAATGCGACTTTTCTCACTAAAATTGTTTTGGAAAATATAATTATTTTTCATAAAAATTTACATTAACCTATGATTTATTATTTTAAATAAATTAATAAATTTAAAATTTTCCTCATTTTTAATTTCAGATATGATGAATGGTGCTATGTACAAACACACATAAAGAAAAAGGTTTTGGGAGTTCTCTTTTTTTTTTTTAAGTGACTCTACCACTTTGTCGCCTTTGGTAGAGTGCTGTGGCTTAGGTGATTCTTTTGCCTCAGCCTTCTGAGTAGCTGGGACCCACTACAATGCCCTGCTATTTTTTGTTGCAGTTTGGCCAGGGCTGGGTTCAAACCTACCACCCTTGGTATATGGGGCCAGCAACCTTCTCACTGAGCCACAGATGCCACCCTGGGGTTCTCAACTTTTTTGAGCACAAAGAAGTTCTGAGACCAAATTGTTTGAGAACTGCTAGCTTACTTAATCTGTCTTTTTCTGGTATATGAAACCTACTGGGCTTGTGGGTTTGTGAATTTTCCCTTTATTTAAAAAAATCAATTTTTGCTTTATTGCTTTACTTTGATGCTTTGTTGTTAGGATCATAAAGCTTCATGATTATTATACCTTCTGGTTGGATTTCTTCTATCTGCAGGCAATATCCTTCTTTGTTCCTTTTAATGCTTTAGGACTTGGGATTTAAAATTCCATGAACCAACACTTACTAGAACCTGCTGTGGGTCAAGCGTAGACATGGAAGAGAATCGGTCCTCATCTGTGTGGAGAACATAGACACGCCAAGGTCATACAGTGTCGGTCCTCATCTGTGTGGAGAACATAGACACGCCAAGGTCATACAGTGTTGCAGCAAGAGTCTGAGCTTTGGAGTCAGACTGATCTGTGGTGAATCCTCAGTACTTCCTAGTGGTGTGTCTTTGGGGGTATGTGTGTGTTGGACTTGGAGCCTCAATGTCTTCTGTAAAATAGGGTTAATAGCATCTACTTACTGGATGTGAGTGAAAACTTCCTGAGATAATAAATGAGAGAATGAGAGAAGCACCCTATGGAGTGCCCTGTATTTATAACTCTTTGATCAGTGCTTTAACAGGGCCATGAGCCCGGAGATCTTATTTGCACCTCCTTATAAGGGCTTATGGGAGAGGCAATGTAGGGCAGTGGGGAGGGTACCAAACTTGGATTCAAAAGATCTGAGTTATGCATTTTTAATTTGCTAGCAAGTTCCTCCCTGAGTCTCAGTTGCCTAATCTGTGAAATGGGGAGGACCACTTTGACCTGCATGACCCATCATGGGGTTATCTTGAAGAATGAATGAAATGATGAAAGGGAAGGAGCTTGGGATGA